GTCTCTGTATGTGTGTGCTGTGTCTGTGTGTGGGGGGGGTGTCCCTGTATGTGTGTGCTGTGTCTGTGTGTGTGGGGGGGTGTCTCTGTATGTGTGTGCTGTGTCTGTGGGGGGGGGTGTCTCTGGATGTGTGTGCTGTGTCTGTGTGTGTCCGTGTCCCCACACACACCACTTGTCATGCAGCGGGCACGGCTCACCAGCTGGATGATGTTTGAGACGCTGAGCCAGTCGGCTTGCTTGATGTTCTCACCTCCCTCCACGAGGCCCTCGTAGCCCTGAAACAGGAGGGGCAGGCATGACACAGGGGCCCCACAGCTGTGGCCAAAGCCCCAGTAGCAAGAAGCAGGCCCAGGGTCCTTACTGTGAGCCCCTCTGGCCCAGGGCATCCTGCCCTTGTCACAGTTGGCGAGTCTGCCACGGGCATGTGGGCATGACCACTCAGCGGCCTGAATGGGCCCCCAGCACCACACCAGGATCAACACAGCCAAGACCAGCACCCAGAAGACCCCAGAGGAACTGGCTGTCCTGCCTCCTGATGGCACCACTGGCTTAGATCTGCCTGTTTCAATGTGGAAATGACACATGGGCCCCTGTTCCTGGCTTCCCACTCCCCCACATCTGTGGATCTCTCACCTCTGCAGCTGTGAGTACCCAGGGGTCACCACCTGCCTGCTGCCTATGGACACCAGAGAGGTCTCCAATTTGTAGAGATTAGAAATCAGGGGCCAGACACAGTAGCTCAAACAATCCTAGCACTCTGGGAGGCCAAGGCAGGTGGATTTCTTGAACTCAGGGATTTGAGATCAGCCTGAGCAAGAGCAAGACCCCAACTCTACCAAAAATGGAAAAACTAGCCAGATGCGGTGGTGACACCTATAGTCCCAGCTATCTGGGAGGTAAGGCAAGATCTCTTGAGCCCAAGAGTTTGAAGTTGCTGTGAGCTATGATGCCATAGCACTCTACCCAGGGCAACAGAGTAAGGCTCTATCTCAGAAAGAAAGGGAAGGGAAGGAATTGAGCTGCAAAGAACACATGTGTTCCTACAGGGACATGCACATTTCAGGCAGGCCCAGTAGCCACGAGCACCATCACTAGCACTGTCCACAGGCCCCAGAGTGCAGGTGGCGAGCTCCTCACCCACTCCACATCCCCATAGTGCTGGGCAGCACTGGTCTTCTGTCCTGGCACTGTGGGTCAGTCCTTATAGCAGCTCCAACCTGAATCTTCCTGTGACATCTGCCACTGGCATCTGGACAGCCTTTGTCCCTGTGCCTGCTTCCCTGCTCATGGCCACCCCTTCCCTACTGTCCGGAGCTCTCACCCAGTCTGAAGAAAGGGTGTGTGTGGTGCAGGGAGGGTGGAGACATGAGAAAGGCAGGAGAGTGGCCTCCTCCATGCAGCACCCCAGGCCCTCAGGGCATGACCAGCCAGGGGCAGACTGCAGCCCTGGGCTCCTCCCTGCACCTCCCTCCCCAGCTGGACAGTGAGGCCCTGGGGTAGGCAGGGGCAGTGCACGCACTGGGCACAGGAGGGTCTGCAGCAGGACACGGAAGTCCCGCAGCCCACCACATGCAGCCGGGTTACTTGGGCAGGTGCCCCCCCGCCGAGAATATTCTTGGGGCTACAGGAGAGCAGAGGCTCCCATCTGAGGAACGAGGGGCTGCTGCCTCTGGCCCAGGCCCCCATACCCCACATTCTGTCAGGCATGATTAAAACAGGAAAATGATTCCAAAACCACAGCTCTGCCTGGCTGGACCAGTGGCTACAAAGCACAGAGACCCTCTGCACTGCCCAGCACCTGCCACAGAGACAGTGTCGGCCTGGACCCTGTCCTGCTGGGTGGAGGAACAGGTGGGCGTGGTCAGCCCAGCTTTCCAGGTCCAAAGAACAGCCAGTCCCCAGTGATGTGGCTGGGTCTGCTGGAATCAGTCTCACAGACACAACCTTCCTTCCTGCCCTGGGAACCTCCTATAACGTCCCTGCACACCTCCCCCACTTTGTACCACCTCTCCTCCCAAGCCCAGCTCACTTCTCTCCCACACACTCCGGGGCTGGCCTCCTCCTCCTCCTCCTAAGCCTTCCTCCCCATCCAGGACTGTAAAAACTGCTTTGCCCACAAGGTGGCATCAGCATTTGTGCCTTACCATCTCCACAAGGAAAGGATTGGTGTCCCCACTGAAGGAGACCATGCTGGAGCTCAGAGACTGGTGCCCCAAATGTGGCACCTTGCCACAATGGTCTCTCTGACCCTCCGCTGCCACCAGCTCCCCCAAAGCACTGGGCAAGCTGTGGGGGGAGTGGCCTTTTGGAGTCTCAGAGGACCACAGATAAGCTCCCTTATCTGTCCCAAGTCCTGACCCACCAAAGAAGACAATGACCTTGGACCATTCCCTGAGTCCTCATTAACTGAACTCATGTTCAAGAAGAAAGCTGGAGTCTGCCAACACACCTGCACAGACCTTTGTCACAAACCGTTGTCTGCTCTGCAGCCTAAGACTTTGTCCCAGGCTACTGGATGTCCTTCCAGCCCATTGAACTCCCTTGGAAATCATTTACTCCCCTAAATGACCGGCACTCCCACCTGCCCTGCCCTGGAAGGAGGCCGCCGGACCAGCTGAGCCCCACTATGCGGCAGGGCACCCACACTGAGGAGTTCCTGTGCCTTTTCTCCTGTTATCAATAACCTGCTTCTCGTGGGCTGATTTTTCAGTGACCCTCCAAAGGGCAAAAGGGATGTTTCCCTTTGTTCCCTTTGGCCTCTGCACCAGAATGTGTCACCTCAATGTGCACCAGAATGTGTCACCTCAAATGTGCCTCTGGACACAGATATCTAAGCTAAAGGCCAGGAAGAAGCAGGTGCAGGCAGCTTTCTGCCTGCCTCTGTGTACCTAAAGGCAGGACTGGGAATTATAAAGGTCCTTCTGCCCTCCCGCTTCCCTACCTGAAGACAGGGCAGCAGAGACTGGGGAGCTGAGCATACTGTCAGCACCCCCAGTCAACCTGCCTGTGCTGCCGCCTTCCTGCGCCTCAAACTGCTCCCCTCTGCCCTGTGGCTTCTCTGGAGCTGGTGAGATCTTAGGTAAGGAGAACTCCACGCCACTGCCCAGACAACCGCACAGGTGCCATGATGGGCAGATAACTTGGTGTTTCCTCTTGGTAATCGCCTCTCATGGCAGGGCTCCATCCCACTCTCAACTAGGCAGGATGGAGGAAAATCACCTCTGCCCCCCCCATCACCCAACAGGAGGCACCAGAAGAGGAGGAGGTGCAGAGATACACCTGCCAGCAGGCGCCCAGCCTCAGGGGATAGGACTGGACCCACCCTGTGTGGCCCAGCTGCCTCCTCTGCCTGCCTGCTGAGAGCTAGGTGCCTGCACAGTCTGCTCACTCATTCATTCCTTCAGTCATCCATTCACACCGACTGCCATCTCCATAGAGCCCAGGGCCGGGTGTGGACCCACCGTGTAACCCAGGGAGAAGGCACAGGCAGAGGCCCGGAGGCAGGAGCCCTGGAGCCCTGAGAGCTGCTACATTTTGTGTAAAAAAGGAAAACAAAATAACAAAAGGCCGCCAGGAAACCACAGGACAATGTAAGGAATTCCACAGGCCTAGGTTCGTGAGTGTGCTGTAAACGCACTGGCTGGAGAGTCAGCCCCAAATCCACAACAGGGAATGGGGGCGGAGGCAAGGGGGCGTCCCATGCGGTGGTAACAGAACAAACTAGTCTGCTGTTCCCCTCTCTGTGTCCTTCATACACAGGAGGGTGTGGAGGTGCAGGAGGGCTGCGGTCAGGGGACCACTGGTGGAGGTGCCAGGCCCCTCAGGGGAGTGACCAAAGACACGCGGCAGAACCAGGAGCAGGTGGAGGGCCAGCCTCCAGGAGACCCTCCTCCCCAGACCCAGGCCTCTGGGGTTGAACACTGATCAAGTTGCTGTGGGACAGGGTTTCCTGTCCCCTCCTGCTCTCTCCCTTCTACTGCACTGCTGTCCTCCCCCGAACCTCCAGGCCAGGCCCCGTAGCCTTTGCACCTCAGCTAGCTGGTTCCCTGGACAGCAGGTCTTCACAGCCCGACCATGTGCACCCATGACTCCAAATGGCCACCCAAAGGCTTTCAGGGTGACCCACGAAGAATTGACAAGGCAGAACACAGTCCACAGAGGCCTTACCTCGTAGATGAGGAAGACTTTGGCACCCACGTAAATGCCCATCCGTGTCACAGCCCTGACGGCAGCATTCATACCTGTGAGAGAGGCAAGGTACAACCTGTCATTGTGGGTGCCCAGGCCCTGGAGGACCCTGCCCGTCTCAGAGGGCCCCAGAGGCCCTGGAGGACCCTGCCCTTCTCAGAGGGCCCCAAAGGCCCTGGAGGACCCTCTCCATCTCAGAGGGCCCAGGAGGCCCTGGAAGACCCTCTCCATCTCAGAGGGGCCGGGAGGCCCTGGAGGACCCTCTCCGTCTCAGAGGGGCCGGGAGGCCCTGGAGGACCCTCTCCGTCTCAGAGGGGCTGGGAGGCCTTGGAGGACCCTCTGTCTCAGAGGGGCTGGGAGGCCCTGGAGGACCCTCTCTGTCTCAGAGGACCCGGGAGGCCTTGGAGGACCCTCTCTGTCTGAGAGAGGCCGGGAGGCCCTGGAGGACCCTCTCTGTCTCAGAGGGCCCGGGAGGCCTTGGAGGACCCTTCCTGTCTTAGAAGGTCCAGGAGGCCCTGGAGGACCCTCCCCGTCTCAGAGGGTCTGGGAGACCCTAGGGGACCCTCCCCATCTCAGGGAGCACAGAGCCAGGACACACAAAGACCAGCCTGGGTCACCAGTAGAGCCTTGAGGGGAGCTCACCACTCCAGGGTTCAGCTCTAAGCACTGGGAAATCAGGGGCCCCAGGTTTAATCAGTAACAGCCCACAGGAAGTGTGGAGACAGATGTCCTGGTCCTACTCCACTCCCATGCTGCCCCAGCCTCACAGCCCCAGGGCTAGGCCCTGACCTGGGAGGATGTGAAGAAGGGGCTTAGCCCCAGTATGAACAGTGTGGCAGGTGGAGGGAGATGACCCACAAATCCACCAACACCTCTGCCACAGACGTCTGCAGGGAAAGTGACACTCAGAAAAACGCTCCAGGCTCTGAAGAAAGGGCACGTGGGGCCACATACTCAGGGGATACCCCTGTCCTCCCTGGGGCTGTAGGCAGGGTAGCTACCGGGAATTCCCACCCCCCAGCCTGAAGGTGACACTGATGCACCAGACTCAGGTGGGTCATCTTCTATACCCTGTCCCCTAGCACAGGCTCCCAGGATTGTGGTCACAAAAAGAGCCTGCCCATGGCGGCAGCAGCCCTCAGGTTCCCAGGGAGCACTGGTGAGCAGCAGGCAGGGGACGCTGCCCACAGCTCAGAACAGGGCTGACATCAGGAGGAGCAAAGATGTCTGTGGCCCTAGCCAAGGGCCCCCCTCTGAGTGGGGTCTGTAGTCTGGGCACAGACAGGTCTAAGCTGGCTCCAGGAGCCTCTCTCCCTCCGGCCCTGCCCAGAGCCTAGGGCACACATGCGTCCTGCCATCTGTCCCTAAGCCTCAAGAAAGCTTTGCGTTGCAGGAGGCCATGCCCTCCAGATCCCCTGAGCTCTGGAAGCTGGTGGTGCTGCTCTGGCAGGGCATCCGTGGATGTGTCAGCAGGTGCCACAAGTGGTATGTTCTACACTCTGTGACAGATGTGACCTGAAAGAGCCAATCTGCAAGAAGGATCCTGAGAGGCTGACTGGGCTGAATTTGCAAAAGAGCCTAGCAGTCATCTGCTGACGAGTGTCACAGACTTGCTCTGAGTTTCCCCAAACCTCCAATCTTTTTTTGGAGGGGGGGGACAGAGTCTCACTTTGTCGCCCTTGGTCGAGTGCTGTGGCATCACAGCAACCTCAAACTCTTGGGCTCAAGTGATTCTCTTGCCTCAGTGTCCCAAATAGCTGGGACTACAGGTGCCTGCCATTAACACCTGGTTTTGTTTTTTTTTTTAGAGATGAAGTCTCATTCTTGCATGAGCTCAGGCAATCCACCCACCTCGGCCTCCAGGGTGCTGGGATTACAGGGGTCAGCCACAGTGCCTGGTCCTAAAACGCCAATCTTTTTAACTTTGGGGACTCAGCCAGAGCTCACCTGCCTCCTTCAATCAGAGCTTGGCCTGATGGAGAACCAGGTGGGCTCCACCAGGAAGCCCAAATCTCTCTCCCACCTGCTCTCTGAGCCACCTTTGCTCTATCCCAGGCTGCATCTCTGCAAACCCTTCACTGGAATAAAATCTTTCCTCCAATAAAGATTATTTGTTGGCAATATGGAACCACAATGAGAAGCTGAGTGACCTTGACCCTGGTTACCCCAGAAGCTCCCGGGTCCGTAGCTAGGGCTGTGCCTGGGGCTGAGACGACGCCCAGGGCCAGAGGAGGAACCCAAGAATTCAGCCTGCCCTGGGCCAGTTCTCTGCACAGAGCTCCCACAGGGCAGCTGGGGCCCTGGCCACCATTCCCACATTACAGACCATAAACCAAGGACCTAGCCAAGAGTGAGAGGCTTTTTGCGCCCCAGCAGGAACAGCAGGGTCGGGCTTAGCAAGTGGCCCTCTCTGCCTCCCCAGCAGCCTGGGCTCCCTGGCCAAGGCACCCATCCAGGAGGGGGCACCCAGACATCAGGGTGGGCAGAGCACGGGGACCTAGAGCTGCCCACACGTGGGGCTTGCACACTTGACTCGGGCAAGCAGAACCCCATTTCTAAAGAAGCAGCACACATCTCACATGCCCTAAGCAGATGGAAGTGGGGGTGCTAAGGCTGAAGTTAGAGGACGGGGGTCCTGTAGGGACCCTGCACACATACCTGGAAAGCCAAGCCAACCGTGTAGCTCGGGGATCTTGCTGCCTGAGGTCAGGCGTGCAAGGCTGTGCTGCGGGCTGCAGGCTCCTCCAGTGCCCACCCCTACCCACCACTGAGTAGGGCAATGAGGGAGATCCACCCAGCCAGAGCCAGGAGCCTAAGCCTCCTGTCCCTGCACCAGCTGGGGTTCAAGCCCCACCTCTGACAGGAAGGATGGAGCCAGCAGCTTGGGACAGGGCAAGGAGAGAGGGCACAAGGGGCAACCCAGGCCCAGTGTCTGACCCAGAGGTCTCTCTGGTAACCCCTGCTCTGGGCGAAGTCCGTGTACCATTGGGCAGACCAGGTCACGGCCATGCCACCAGCCAGCCTGGTGCACTTGTTGGGGCCCCCAGTTAGGGTACAGCTGGCACTTGACCTGGCTTCCCAGTGACCTCAGGACACACTGCAAAATAAAACCTGCTTAGATACCCAAGACAATAAAGCCACCAAGACCCACCTTGTGTCATGCCCCCAAAGAACAAAGTGGCTGTGTCACATGAAAACACTAGATTTTAGGTGGGACAGGTCTCAGCTGCAAGCCCTACAACCTGAAGGTGTGGGTTTCTGCTGACCACATGGGAAGTTGCATCCTGCAAAAGGCCTTTTTAATGCCCTTTAATCTGCTTTTCTCCCTCAAAATCACCCTGGGCAGCATCACCAGCTGCTCCAGTTCAGAAGAGCAGGCAGGAGTGTGGCTAGGCCCCCTCCTCAGGGGGCCAAAGGCTGCTGTCTCCAGGACAGAGGGATGTAAGGAAACTGATGTCCAAGGTGGGAGTGCTGGCTCCTACAGGGACTTTCCTCCCAATCAGCTCCCAGAAAACAAAGCATCAGGCAAGACAGCAATAACCACAAGATGAGGCCAGGTTTAAGACCAGCCAGACCATGGAAACACAGACACTGGGCACTTGGGCACAGGACGCTGAGGAGTGGACAGGGAGTCCTTACCCACAACACCAGGACATGGCCAGGCCATGGGTTATGTACCTGGGTTATGTAGGGATAGGGCAGGCTGCCAGAAGAAATGGCCAAGGGAATTAACAGTGCCCATACTAGGTACGAGCCTAAAGGGCAGAAGCAGGTGGGCCATGATGTGTTTTAAGTCTTGTTACTTTGCACAAATTACTCTAACAAAATAGACATTCTTCAACCACAATTGCCTTCCCTCAAGTCGACGACACAGGCTGCTGGCCCACAGGCAGGAGAGACCCAGAACCATAGAAGACAGGACTTCTGGGCTGGCCGGAAGCAATCTGCAAGGAGGTCCTTCTCACAGAAGGGGAAACTGAGGACCAAGAGAAGTCCTTGCCTCTAATCCCAGGGCTGGTCAACACTGGCCCTATCAGGTCACAGCAGGTAGTGGCCAGGCCACCCTCTTGTAAGGTTGGTTGGTTTTCACACATTCCAAAAGATGCACACTCTCCATCTGGGGGTAGGTGCCCTTGGGGTCCCCAACCCTGCTGCTGTCAAGCCTAGCTGGTACGGGAGGGCACATGTGGGGCTGGGTGCCCCCGCAGGTCCTAACAAAGCGCTAGAGAGCCCCAGAAGGGAACAGCACCCAGTGTCTTCAGCCAGGCCACAGGGGCAGTACCAGCTCCCAGAGAGCACCCACAGGCTGTTTTCAGAGCTTGAAAAACAGAAAAGCCCCAGGTCTGCTCAGAACACCAGCTCACCACTCCCACAGAGCAATGACAACTTGCCGCTGAATCCTCCTCCCTGCATAGCCCCAGCCCAGAACCAGGTAAGTTTGCGGAGTCTCCTCCCCTGGCTGAAAACCACTACTTCCCACACCAACAGATCCAAGGGTGCACCTGCAAGAGGCCCTGAGGACAGAGAAGGCCAAGAGCCCAGCTGGGAGGCACCAGCCGGTCAGCAGGTGCACTGACCAAAACACCCAGCCATAGCCACAGAACGTTGCCCTCTCCACGTGAGGCACGAGGGCCGGCTAGCCAGTGGGGACCCCCAGCTCACTCAGGCTTTGCCCTCACCAGGCCCTCCTGCCTGTACTTGCAGCACCCTTGCTAGGGATCAGGAGCCCCTCCCCATCTCTGGACCTTCCACCAGCATCTCAACTACTTGCCACTCACCCTGGGTGTCCCCTCCCCATGATCTGAAAACCACCCGCCAGACTGGGCCCTGCCAGGGGCCCACACGCCTATCAGAATGCACATCTGTTACCCTCCCCAACCCTCAGACGCTGCTGTCTCCATTCTGCTGACGAGGAGCCTGGGGTGGGGACCTCCTCTGCTTCAGGGGGCCACAGATGGACAGGTGGAGTCTGGCTCCCTGACCTCACCAAAGAAGTATCCTTCTGCTGGGGAGGAGGGTCCAGCCCTCCTAGGAAGTGTCTGCTCTCCAGATGCCCAGCCTTT